ATCATGTCTTCTCCTAGCAAAGGCGCTCTGCAACACGCGGTAGAGACAGACACGACATCTGGTGAGAGGGAGGTCGACGTTGTTGAGCTCGTGTTTGCCCAGCTTGATTTTTTGTCTGACCTAGAACAGGCGTGTCCCGGTGGGCGTGCTGTTGGCGTCTTCTCCGAAGAGGAGGCGGCAGGGCACGGTTTCCCCGCAGCGACTGCTGAGACTGGTGGCGTCACAGCTTCCAGTGTCGACACGCCGACACCAATCGGAGTGCAGGTGCGCCGCGGGGGGGGGCGCGGAAGGACTCCTCGCTCTCCTCGTCCTGAGTGCTCGCCTTCTCGTTGCCCCCCAGTGGCATGCCTGGCGTGCCGTAGTGCTTAGGCCTCCGGTCTGGGGCATCGCCCCATCTTGCGATGAGGCGGCCGACGCGGCCTTCGGGAAGTGCGCTTGCTTATAGTTTCGCGGGCTCCCCAACGTGGCTGTTGGCGTCTTCTCCGAGAAGGAGGCGGCAGGGCACGGTTTCCCCGCAGCGACTGCTGAGAGTGGTGGCGTCACAGCTTCCAGTGTCGACACGCCGACACCAATCGGAGTGCAGGTGCGCCGCGGGGGGGGGCGCGGAAGAGCTCCTCGCTCTCCTTGTCCTGAGTGCTCGCCTTCTCGTTGCCCCTCAGTGGCATGCCTGGCGTGCCGTAGTGCTTAGGCCTCCGGTCTGGGGCATCGCCCCAACTTGCGATGAGGCGGCCGACGCGGCCTTCGGGAAGTGCGCTTGCTCATAGTTTCGCGGGTTCCCCAACGTGGGGCTCAGAACCGGGGTATCGATCGAGCTTCGACGCTCTCTGTTCCGTACCGTCTAGCCGATTCTTATCCCCATCCCCATCCCCAGCATCCCACCACCTCAGTTGGGGATATGCTCCTCGAATCCCGAAAGGAACAGCCTATATTATCCCAGCTATGGGGGTACATCCGCCAGTGGGGTCCAGGCCACGCCAGCGGGGATAGGGATCGGTTGAACGATGCTCAATTGTTTTGGCCTTATACGAGGCTCTCGGTGAGGGTACTGGCATGAAAAGTCCCTCGTTGGGGGCACTGCTCCGAGCACAAGGGGCACAAGTTTGTGAAACCACCTATGCCCAGTGAGCTTGTGGGATTCCGAATTGGAGCACGGCTGGATGGGTGGGGGGGAAGTAAGGGGGAGGAAAGTGAGAAGGAGAAAGCGAGGGGGGGAAGTGAGAAGGAGAAAGCCTTCTCAGGAGGTGGCGGGGCTTCTCAGAAGGCCTCTGGCATTCTGAGAGGGGTTTTCTCTGTCTTCGGGAATGAATGAATGAATGAATGAATGAATGAATGAAGCCGCGTGTCCGTAGGCCCATGAGCAATGGCACGGGCGTGCGCTAGACAGCATATTGTAGTGGCCTTCGGCCAGTGCCGCCGATCCGGGTCGCTCGGATACACATATTACGCGGACACCTCACGCACGCACACGACCAAATGCACATACGGCAGACACACATACAGAGACACACTAGGCGCACGCCAGACACTAGCACGCACAGACATTCGCAGACACGCACCACACACAGACACTCGCACAGGAGCCTGTCAGGGCGTCGAGGGGCTTCTTGGGGGCTTTTTTTGGGGGCCCTCTTGGGGGCTCTTGGGGCCTCCTGGGGGCCTCGTGGGCTGGAAGGCTAGATTTTTTCCGCTTTTCGTCCCTCTTTTGGGTCCTCTTGGGGCCGTCTTGGGGGCCTCTTGGGCCGTCTTGGGTAGCTTTTGGGCCGCCTTGGGGCCCTCTTGGGCCGTCTTGGGACTGTCTGGGGGCCTCCTGGGCCGTCTTCGAGCGGTCTTGGGGGCCTCTTGGGCCGTCTTGGAGCGTCGGAAAGCCGAAAAAAGCGACAACCCCCAAAACATGGAAAAAAAACCAATGGAAATCAATGATTTTTGCCTCTGGGGGCCCTCGTGGGAGGCCTTTTGGAGGCCTCTTCAGACGTCTTGGAAGGCTCTTGGGCCGTCTTGGGGCCATCTTGGGCGTGTTCGGGCGATCTTTCGGGGTCTCGGGACTTTCGTAGACCGTCCTAAGAGACTTTTGCGGCCGCGGCCACCCTTGTAGCGCATCCTCGAGATTAGAGCCTTCTGTAAAAGCAGCCCCCCCGCATCCGCCGGAAACTCGCACCCCCCCCCCCCATCCCCCCTTCCCCGGCAGAGCCACCCCGGCAACCCCCCCAGAGGCTGAGGCTCAGCCTCGAGGCTGTAGCTGAGACTCCTTGAAACTCACACGCCGGATCGATCGGTGCCCCAATCTGAGAAGTTCCAACCATAATTACGACAAATTTGCTCAGCATGCTTAGACAATTCTGTTGTCCACGCCTGCCGGGGCCTGCCCCTCTTCCGGCGGCCGGGCGCCTGCGCCAGCTCAGAGGAAGAAGGCTGGGGGACTTTGGAGCCTTCTGAGAAGGCCCGCCCCTTCTCGCTTCTCTCCCTCGCTTGCCGTCTGTATCGATCAACCAATCCCCATCCCCATTCCCATCCCCTCGAGACCCCCGCCAAATTACCCCCCAGTTGGGGATACACCCCTCGAAGCCCGAAGGGAACGGCCTATGTCCCCATCCAGGGGGGCAAATCGGCCAGCGGGGCCCAGGCCACGCCAGCGGGGATGGGGATCTGTTCAACGATACTCGTGCCGCCGATGGCAAACGCCCATCGCTGCGTGCCCGACTGGGCCCCGCTTTTGCTCCAGAGGGCCAACACATCCGAGGCGGGCGCGTGGCCTCCGCCACCGCCGCTGGAGGGTTGGGCACCACACGTTGGAGTGAGGACCCTGGCATGAAGTCGGGCCTGTGCCTCTAAAGTCAGAGTGGTTCGGGGGTGGGACAGTGACACGTCGACTAGTGAATTGTCCGTTTTCGGTTCTCGAGAGGGCACCGCGGCTGCTGTTTTCCAGGCTTGCGCCCGCCAGGTTTGGGCCTCAGGTCGTTTTTACTAAACCACGTTTTGCTAAAGGGAGGTCTGTCCATCCCCGAGTGGTGGCCCTGGCACCGAGTGACGGCATCCAGGCGCGCAGGCGGCCGTCGCAAGAGCTGGCAGCTCTTCCGACCGACCCTTGGCTCCTCCCCGAGATGCCTGGCCGTGGAGGAAAAAAAGGAGAGCTGGGCCCCCGGAAGCGACAGGGCTCTTTCGACCGACCCTGGGCTCCTCCCCGACGCTTCGCCGTGGAGGAACAAAAAGGAGAGAGCTGGGCCCCGGAAGCCACAGGGCCGTTGTTTCTTACCGGTTCCGTTCTGCCGCGTTTTTGTTGCCGCTTCCGACGCCGTTTTTGTTGCCGGTGCCGTCGCCGTGTTGTGACCGGTTTCGGCTCGGGTTCCAATCCTGGAGCCGTTTGTTTGCCGTTTTCGGTCGCCTTTTTTATTTGCCGTTTCCATTGTCAAGGGACTTTTTTTCGACACGGTGAAAAAACGGCCCTGCCGTTTCCGGGGCCCACAAAGAGATGGCATGCTTTTAGGGTTCAGGGTTCCAGGATGTGGCCGTTAGGAGGCGGTGTGATCCCACTCCCTTCCGAGGCCGAGTGGTTGGCCTGTGGGATCCTGTGGGGTCTTGCCCGTGGGCGTGGCCCGCTGGAAGGCCTTGGCATCTGGCATGCTAGTCCTAGACGGCGGATTTTGAGTGGCACTTAAGCAGGACATGTGTGCGCGTTTGCGTTTTTCCCCCGTCCTGACGGAGGAGTGCCTGTTCAGCATTCCTTTTTGGGGGAGTCTGGAGAGGAGGGCCCCCTCGAAATCTGGCCCCAGCTGCAGGCGGAACGCCAGCGGAAGACGGCCATCCACGGTGGCACGCGGCTTCAGGCGTCACGGGCAGCCTCAGGAGGTCCCAAGATAGTCGCAGATTGTCCAAGATTGTTTTCAGTCCGTTTCCGAGAGGGTCACGAGGACCTCGAGATGGCCGACGATGGTTTCTAGATGGCCTGCGAGGCTCCAGAGGCGGTCCCAAGACATCCCCCAAGGGTGCCTCATGAATCGAATTCGTTGAGGCTCCAAAGGTTCGCCAAACAGTGCTTGCACTTAGGGGTTTTCATTTCTCCCCTTAGCAGATGGGCTGTGTCTTCGCTCTGGTGGCTATGGTTCCGCCGTCGTCGCCCGTCGTTGTCCCTATCGTTGTGTTGGCGGCCAGCTACGTTCCCACCGTCGCTGCCCGTGCATTGCTAGCCCGTGCTACGCCTTGCGATTGCATCGCCCTGCGCTGTTCTCGTCCTTTGGCAGTGCTCTGCGTTGCTTGCTCCACATAGAGCACGCCGCATACATTTCGGAAGCCGGGCAAGGGCTGCTAAATCCGTGGCTGCTGAAATCGACGTCCGGAAAGTTGTCTTCGTCCTTCCGGGAAGAAGCCCGTTGACTGTTTCGCGTGCTGCGCCTCATTCCGGGAAGTTGTTTTTTTCTTCGGGAGGGCCGTTGTAGCAGCCACGGTTTTAGCAGCCTTCGCCCAGCTTCCGAACATCGTACGACATTGGTTGCACCACTTCGGCTTTCTGTTTCTCATAAAAGGATTCCGATCTACCCCCGCCCCCCCTGCATGATTTGTACCCTCGCCCCCCCTGGATGATCTGCCCGCCTTGTACAAATTGTTCGCGCGAACATTCGTTTGACAAAATTCAGTATATACATGTTCGAACATCCTTGCAAAACTATTGTACGAAGTACACGCGCGCGCGTCGTCGCACGCGCATGCCGAAATCGCTCAAAAACCTCGGGTGGCGCAAGATTTCAAGGTCTCGTTTGCCGCATATCCTTTAGAACTAACAGGTCGTGTCTCGCCTCACTCGCCTCGTCCTCCCTCGTCGTCACAACCGTCTCGTCCATAGCTTTGTGCTCAGAGTGGCCTCGGGGGAGCCGACACCACACGCTTTTCTGGTGCTCCTCCCGAGGACTGAGGGAGCCCCCGCAACCCTCGGGGCTTGTGGGGGCCGACTTCGGGCTCGTCCGCCCCTGGCGATGTGACGACACCTCGCGTGGGCCTCCCCCAGGCGGATGGCGGCCGGAGGGGGAGGCGCTGGCGGGCCCCCTGGCCTCGGCGGCTTCGCAGCGCTGCCCGTGGGCGTGGGCGCGGCGCTGGGCGCGGTGCCGAAGGGGGCCCTCCCGGTGCTGCCCAAGGGCGCGCGGCGCGCGGCACCCAAGGGCCGCGGAGGAGGCCGAGGCGGCCGCGGCCGAGGCAAGGCTGGAGGGGGACCCCCGCCCACGCCTGAGGGCAAGAAGGCTGCGGGGGCCCCTCGGCCGCGGCCTGCAGGCGGAAGCAGGGCCAAGGCGGGCGCAGGCGCGAGCGCTGGGGGCGGCGCAGCTCCAGCAGCCGCCGCGCCCCCGCTCGCTGGGCCGCCTGCTGGGCCGCCTGGCGCCGGAGCAGGGCCTGCGGCCGCGGCGGCCGTGGTCCCCGCGGCGGCGGGGGCCCAGCCAGGGCCCGCCGCGTTCGCCGGTGGCTTCGGGGTCGGCTTCGGGCCACCAGGAGGCGGCGGCGCTGCAGGACGCGGCGGGCTCATCCCGCCCGCGTTCGGAGGTGGCGCGGCCGCGGGCCCTGGAGGCCCCCCCTTCGCGCCTGGAGGAGCCTCCCAGGAGCTGGGGTCGGCCTCGGCCCGTGCGCGGCCGGAGGTGCAGGTTGCGGGCCCGCCGCCGCCCCCGCCGTGATGCCCGCAGGTGGCGGCGGCCTCGTGGGCGGCTTCGGCGTCGGAGGCTGGGGCGCGCCCGCCGCCGCGGGCTGGGGCGGCGCGCCTGGGTTCGACCTCGCCGCGGTCCCAGGTGGCGCTGGACCCTGGATCCATGGCCCCTCGGCGCCCCTCGCCCACCAACGCATGGGACTCATGCCAGGGACGCACGTGGAGGGGGTGCTTCTCGACAGTGCATCCAGCGCTGTGGGTACTGCAGTGTTCATGGTCCAGAGTGCGTGGCCAGGCGACGGGAGCGGCTGCTACGTCGAGGGCGTCTTCGTGGGCACGAGCGCCACGCAGCTGGCGCCCATGCTGTCTGGGTCCTTCGGCGCCGTCGGCGGGTCGGTCATCCACCTGTGCTCGCAGCCGTCCTCGCAGTGCTCGCTGGTCAATCAGTGGCCTTGTCGTGCTGTACTCCACATCGAGACGTACAGGATGCGTGACGGGCGGAGCCTCTCGGAGCCGTGGATACAGGGTGTCCCGCAGCTCGCCGCAGGAGGAGGCCCGCCCGCAGGAGGAGCCCAGGCCGCCCCTCCCGCCGCCGCTGGGGCTGCCGCAGGAGCCGACGGTCAGTCTGGAGCTGTTCCGACGCACGCCGAGCTGCAGGCCAAGGTTGCTGAGCTGAAGGAGCGGCTCCACAGGCGGCGGACGGTGGGTCAGTCTCTGGCCTCGCGTGCCGAGGCTGCTCTGGCGGGGAAGCGGCCTCGCAAGAACAAGAAGGGCGATGGGGATGGCAGTGAGTCAAGTTTTGACGACGCCTCGCACGTCGATGCAGGCCGCCGGATAAAGACCCTCTCGCGGGAGCAGCCAAGGAACCCCCTGGCCAGCGGGATGGAGGTCACCAGCCGCTATCTGGCGCGACGTGGAGGGGCGGCCGATTCAGAGAGCCTGGATACGATGAGCGCGCAGGTCGTTCGCTACATCACCAGTGTGTGGCACGGGCATCACCCCCAGAGCGAGATGGGGGTGAGGAGCGTGAGGGAGCTTCGCACAATCGGGGAGTGCCTCGACGCGTTGCTTCGGGGAGAACTCGATCACCTCGAAGGATGAAGGCGATCGAGCAGGCGACGAAGGACGGGCACTGGCAGGTGGCGCAGCACTTCGAGTTTTGTGACGATCTCGGAGTGGGCCTGACGCAGTCGGCGGAGCTGGCGGACGCAGTGAGCAAGCACAAGAAGCTCCGCGGCCTGCAGGAGAGCGTCGCGAAGGCCCACAAGACGGGCGCCGCTGGCTAGGGGCGGGGCCGAGGGGGGGCGAGCGGCCCGCGCTCTCCCCTCGACGGCCAGCCGCTGGCGCGGCCAAGGCGGCGCCGAATCCCCCCCCCCGTTTCGCTGGGCAAGCGGGGGAGGGCCCGCAAGAGGCTCAGCGCCATGGGCCTGCGAGCTCGAGATGGGAAGGCCTCGAGCGCGGCGGCTCGGGCGACTTCGCCCTCCCTCGCGGGCGAGCGCGCCCCCCCGGAAGGCCGCCGTGGAGGTGGCGACTGCTGCGGCTGGTGCGACAGGCGCGGCCGCTGCCCCGAGGACCCCGTCGCCGCGGGCGGAGCGGCCCAGCGGGCCGCCGTCGCCGAGGCCGCCCCGGGAGGTCTGGGCCCAGGCCCCGACAGGGGGCCGGTGCTGAGGCCGCCAGGTGCAGCGCGGGGCGCCCCGCCTTTACCCCAGCGCCGCGTCCACTTCGTGGGCGACGAGCCGCCCCGCCGCGCAGGCAGCCAGGAGCGCGGCGCGGGCAGGGGGGGCCCTGGAGGTCAGGCAAGGACGCCCGGGAAGGAGGGGGGGGCAAGGGCGGGGGGCGGAGCCGCCGCTAGCCTCCCGTGACGTAATTCAGTTCAGTGACGAGGAGGGCGCGGTCGCAGCGACCGCGGCCACGGGCGAGCCTTCGCCCTGCAGCCCCGCTGACGACCGCGGAGATGATCTCCAGGAGGAGATCCAGTAAATATGCTCCTCTCCGCCTCATCATAACCTTGCTACTCTCACTGCCTGCCTTGCAAAATACTGTGTACTATCATGCGGCACTCTTCCGCAGCTGTTCTGTGCGCAAGAGATAAAAAAGGAGCGCGCCTGCCTTCGTCCGTCGCGCGTCGTTGGTCGTCGGCCGGGCGGCCTCCCCCCTTCCTATTCTTGGGTATTATTGCTTGACGGCGTCTTAGTATTATCGTTTATGTCTCTCCCTGAATCCTCCGCCACTGAGCAGGGGGAATCTGGGACCTTATTCCCCTGTCATCTTATCCCGATTCCCAGAGGAAAAACTGGTTCTCAGCCGAAACCCGCGATCAAGTCGCATCAGGGATGAGCTATGATGAGACAGACGTATTGCCCGCCAGAGACGAGCTCATGACACAAGTTGTACAACGTGACGGGCAAGTATCGCAGGGCGGCGGCCCGGGGTGGGACCGCCTTCCCTCTTCTTCTATCGCCACCAGTGTATCTTGGGGCAGGAGTAGGGGGGAAATTGTAGATTTGTCCAGGGACGATTCTCTTTCTCGGATTCCGATCGGAGATCGTGAGCAGACCCCAGATGCGGCCAGGCGAGACGGCACAACAGTAAATATTAGACGAAGAGCTTTCTCGAGATCGTTAATAGCCGTATCTTCGGAAACGATAAACTCCAGTTCGATTGCTACGCGGACAGTCGCACCGGCCGCTGGCCAAGCCAGTGGGTCAGGAGAAGATGAAGGGCCCAGAGGCTGATGCCCCACCGTCCCAGACGGATGGGGAAACATACAAAGGGCCCACCCATCCCGATAGCTTTGAATGGACAGACCGGCCAGGGCAGTGACGAACAATTTGATGATGGAAATGATATTGACTCCATGGAGAATGACATCGAGACACCGAGTGCCCAACGCGAGCGAAGCATGACCGAGAGATCACAGGACGAACTCCCGCCCCTCAACTAAAGAAGCAAAGGAACGAGGATTATGACTTGAACGACCCCCCCTCTCAGAGGGATTTCGTTGGGCTGCCGTCGCCCCAGGCGGTTGGCAACCGTCGGATGCCCATAGTAGTGAGGACGATGAAATGATTGAACCCCCAGGTTCGCTTAATGAGTTGATGCGGCAGGGCGAAAGGGATGAGGAACTTCGAGAGGTGCCAAAGCCGCCAGAGAACACGTGCCCGCGTCCCAGGTCGAACGCCTCGAGTCGAGGAAGACTCAAGATACCCTGATCTGGAGCTCGATCTACATCGAGGAGAAACAGCGCAATATCGATGCGCGAAACTTGCTGGAACTATGGCCCTAACTGTTCGCCTCGGGCGGAGAACAGATGCCAGGGGGAAGCCTGCAAGCCTGAAGGGGCCTGTAGACGCCCAGCAGGTAGATGTTGCTAAGACGTGTGTACTAACTGTAGCAATCAATGGTTCTGTGTGGACTGCATGCCGATGGAAGAGCACAATTGCACTTACCTTCAACTCCAGGCGATGCAAGATCAGGCTAGATATGGCGAGGCCAAAACCCAGCAATAATTTCTGGCCCGTGACGCTCAAAGGGCAGAGAAAGCCCGACTGGATAGAGAAGAGATGCATGCAGTCGTTGAGGACTTTCGGGAGACGTTCGAGGCTGAGAGACTCGCTATGGCCCAGACAGTCAAAAAGCGAGAACAAGAATTGCTGGAACAGATGTCCTATCAGACCACGGCCGCCAAGCGGATCGTGGAAGAAGAAGCTGAGAATAGATATGCCGAAATGATTGCCTCGGAAAGGCATGCCATAATAACGGCAAATAGTCGATCTGTTGACGCCAACACAGTATCCGCAGCTGTTGCGGTGGCAAGAATAGAAGGAGAGAGGGTCGCCACAGCTAGGGCAGTTCAAGAACAGCAGGAGCTCCAATAACAACTTCAGACTGCCAGGTTGGAGGCGGCCAACGCGCGCATTGTAGCTGCGAAGATAGCTGATCAGAATAACCCAAATCGAGAAGAGCTCAAGTCACATGAGGACGCCAGAGCGTCTCTTCAGCGTATGCAATTGAGCGACAGTACGCGCCCAACGGCCAAGCCGGCTGGGATGGGCAGACGACCATCGCCGGCGGCCCAGCCGCCCGGCGCAGCGCCCGTTCCGGCCCAGTCTGATTTGCGAGTGCGGCACCGTCAACATTGCAGGTAAGGGCTGCACCGCAGCCGCAGCCTGCAAAACCGGACGATGAAGAGAATTGCTCAATCTGTGACAACCCGAAGGTAGGTGATTGCGCCACTTGTGGACGGCCGGGTTGCAAAGACCATTTTGATGTGAGTACGAAACGGTGTGCTACATGTGCTGAAGAAGAGTCTGCCGGCAGAGCTGGAGAAGTGGAATGAGCAATGGCGGCAACGCAGTGCTAATCGCGAATTTCGGGCCCAACAGCAGGAGCTCCTTGACGAATGTAACGCTGACAAGACAAATAGTCAGCGAACGATGGAGCAGGCTGGAGAGAAGATTAGACTGAGCTCAGAAAGGTCAGCAGCCAACATCCGAGAGGGAGAGGAGGCCCTGACTAACGTAGCTACGTTGGAGAAAGGAGTGATGAAGCTGAAGGCTATCATCACCAAGCCATTTCCGTATAGTGAAAAGGGACAGGGAAGAGCGCCCGCGTTAAATTCATTCGATATGCCCTTGCTTTCACGAGAAACGCCTGTGAGACCTGTTATGCGACCCAATTTTACTGTCCCCGGCCCTGCAATCGAAGGTCCGGCCAAGCCGAATACCTCGGAGAGTGGTCTACCAATAAATATGAAATTGACAGGTACTAATGAAGATGCTGGTTTTGTCAACTGCCATCCATTCTCTAGGGGCGGACCTGTGGGACCGCCAGCGGCCAAGCCGTCTGGCGGGGCGGGGCAAGACAAACATGGGGATGGCAGGAGTGACGCGCCGAGTACTGAGATTATGTCGACGTAACGACGCTATCTGCGATTGGTCAGATAAGCCGCTTCCAGGGGGTCCGGGGGGGCCAGGATCCTCAGATGGTGGAGGCGGTCGTGGCGGACCTCAGGGCCCAGGAGGGCCACTTGACCCAGGAGGCTTTGATGAGAGCACCCCGCTAGACCAGTGGAGGCAGGTTGGAAACAATCAGAAAGTTGAACTGATGGACATTCACAATGTTACAAACATACGGGAGTGGCAGATGCGTGCGATCCGCGCGATTGCTGGATCATCTCCATAAATCCAACTCGCACAGCGATGGCTCACGGAAGCCATGAACCCTGCGGTAGACGATGAACAACTTAAAGGCCCAGGCCGCTTCCAACGTCTTGACATGATGATCGCCGCAAGTTTGGTTGAGAAGTTCAACGATATGCGCAAACATCGAGACCTGCCCAGTCACCACTCGCACGTCCTTCAGCAAATCACTTGAATGCAGTGCGCGGCTCAGAATCAAGAGAGACTTTTGACGGGACGTGAGATGGTACGAGCCATTTGCCATTGGTGTTATGTTAGATACGGGTTAGGGCAACATCGCATTTCGCGTGGTATTTTCAAGGTAGTCATTGACCCTACGAGCCCGACGCTGATCTATATCATTTTTATAATGAGTGGACAGATGTTTGCCAGCAGCTCTATGGTGCCCGACCCCCCTCCGATGAGATGAGCTTCGATTCATGCACACTTCATCGAACAATGCAGGACACCTAAGAAGTTAGATTTCGTTTGTCAACTCTATGACCTATCAGAAGATAGATTGGGAGAGGGTGTGACAACTTACGAATGGATTATGGAGCACATCGAAGCGATGATGTTGCGTGACAAAGAAGAGTGGAACATAAGCGTGCACGAAAGTACTTTGAATCAACGTGCAAGACAAACGAGATTGGGCGGAGGTGGAAGCAATGGCTATGACAACCGACGGAATGCCAACGGCAAAGCCGCTCCGGCAGAGGTGGCGGCACGTTTTGGGAAACCCACGGATGTGATGAAGAGTGGCCTGACTAAGGGCGAGACGGCGTGCAAGGTTGTGCGTGAAGGTCAAACATGCCCGAATGCGTGTCAAGGATGCCTTTTCAATCATAAGAAGCCCAAAGCTGCCGCACCGGCTCAGCCGGCTGCGGGTAATAAGTCAGATGCCGCTCCGGCTCAGAACAAGAATCCCAGAGGGCCGAAGGCCGAGGCCGAAGGGGACGGATCCGATCACAGACTCCAGCGGGTGGCCGCGGAAAAGGATCGCAACAGCGTAACAGGAGTCAGTCCAACCGTTCGCGCGGGAAGGAGAGTACGCTACCATGCTATGCTTATTCGCGCGACCCCAGAAATTGCCGTGGCCCTGAGGA